TAAAACAATGCGGCCTTAATATCGGCTACACAGGTGTTTGGTTGGATTTCTCTCAGAGCATCGATCATTCAAGTTGGCTCTTGTAGACGTAATCGCTACCAACGGTGTTATACACAAACAGTAAAGAACAATGGTGTCCATCTCGACATGCGCTTTAAACGCGTCAAATGTTACAATTTTAGTAAGTGCTAGCGTGCTACGATATTACTACTCTATGGAAATTTGAGCTCTCAGTAGTGTACAACTTAGCGCTTCTTCTAACTCATAAAAGTGCTTAAGAAAAATTTTAGTGGTAAAGCAGCAAATCAGTCCCTGTCACAGAACTTAAAGCGCCACCGAACCCAAAGCGAACCCGACCTTCTGTACGGATGATACAAATGGAAGAAGTGCCTGAACTGCACGACAATCGAAGATGAGATACGAAGGAATTGTCCTTTTTAACGAGCGGATGGTGTCATCCCGTCGAGTCTAGAAAACTATTTCCATTGCGTACTATAAAACTTTAAGGATACGCAAAAATTAACTAACTAACAGATAATTTTACCACGCTGAAAGATAACAGACTTAAGAGTTGACGAATAGAACTATTCCGAATCGTTAGCACAACTGATGTCCCATAATTTACCAAGCAGTAGAAAGTAAAAAATCCGACTATAGTGGTTCATCGTTGACTCGAGATCTAAAATGTTGCTGATTACACCCGTGCATATTACAGTACTAATATAACGATAGCGAAATCAATCAGTGCAGGTATTAAGAACACAGTAATGGAATAGGATCGTATGGGTCGGAGACGCCGTGCAATACACATGGGATCGATCCCCGTGCCCATGGCTCACCAAGCATTCCATCCTTCCGGAGGCTGCCAAATTGGTATATTTGTGTGGGAATATAGCAGCACTGGCTCGATACATTGGTAGGCCATCGAGAGTCATTGTGCAGGTTAGATATGCATTCAACCATCTCCAAGCGATGATTAATGAAGTCGAATGCATGGCGCATCCCTTAGGGGTTGATCAACGCCGAGAGCATCTTCCTTTCATCCTTTTATGATTGAGTTATGAGCATTCCAAAGAGAAATAAAAACAACACGTTCAACCCTTTATGCTCCTTACTTCGTACTTAAAATTAGAATAATAGCAGTGATAATAACACATTTCGTTCAGGATTGGTTTGCAACATCTGCAGTATACAAAAACACGACTGCAGCGGTATTGGCAAAACAGAATCGCACCATCAAATATAAAGTATCCCAGCAACCAAGTAAAATTTTAGGCAAACAAATGAAAAAAAAACCGATAGCCCCGAATTTGAGGACCGCGGCTAATCATTAACTGTCACTAAAATAACACAATAGGATATCTAAAGGGCAATATTAGGTCAAGTATTATGAATTCTGCGGGAATGTAATGTAGTATTGCAAACATGTTCACAAATTACACAGACAGAAAGCAACTGACTCCAGTATAGCAGCTAGTTAGTTTTAAACCAACATATTTATATCCAGCAAACACGAGGTGTTATTCTATTTCTTTATTTTCAGAATTATTCATTCCATTTCATTTCCATTCCATTCATTACTTCATTTCATTTTCCAATTATTCATTCCATTTCCATTTCATTCATCTTTTTTTTCAGAATTATTCAATCAATGCCTAGGCTAATAGAAAGTCGGACGTGGGAGTTACTACAGCATATTTATTTATTCCTCGAGCTAGGTGAAGGTAAATGGGCGTTATACACCCATTAAAAGCTATTCTCGCCCCTAGTCTTTGTTCCGCATCCCACTACGCCTTGCACAGTGATTTCTTCTTAGCTCTCCTTTTCATCTCTCTATTATCTTCTTCCATCTTTCTATTGTCCCTATCTCCATTCGCCTCTTAATTTCCTTATTTCTCTAACTAGTATCCTTTTAAAAGTACGACGTCGAGTTCCTTCATTCTTCAGAAACATATCGTACACTCAATTTTACGGCTTTGAACAATCCTATATTATGGCGAAATAATCTGATCCCGCTCTGCTCAATATGGGACTACGATCCCTTGTTCTGCCCAAACATATCTCTAGCCTTTCCATCGGCAACCTGACGTCTTCTTTTGATATATCAATCCTTCTGAAGAAAATAACTACCCATCTCCTGAATGGTGAATTTACAGTGGTTCCGATTACAGCCGTAGCATCCAAGCCATTATTTCCTTTTTCAATTGCATGAGGGAAATATTTACAGGTGCCTGCTCATGAACCACGTTCGAAATTGTCCGAGTGAACACATTCCAGTTTGTCAAAACCAACCTTGAATTAAGTAAAATCGTGGAGTTGAATAGGTGCGACTGCAGGGTGATCATATCTTTTTCACGATCTTCTCGATCCGCTGTTAAACCTCCAGGTCACTTCAACCGTAGATCCACAAATCTTTCACCAACATGAGATCCACGCCTTAATACACATAACTAAACCGTCCAATGCAATTCTACACGCTGAATGTAAATGGAACCATCAGGAAGGCATCAGGTTTAGGCGAACATCGCCATTTCAAAATCGAACATTTAATCGAAATATTCACCGTCGAAATAAGGTGGCATTTATTATGAGGAGCTAATGCTTAGAATTTTGATGGCGATGTTGCTATCAAAGCAAATACCACTTCCTGGCTATCCACTGCCACTTCCACATTCCCATACTTACATATGAAATAACGGCGCCCAATATTTCCGCAGTAATTCACATCGATTGTGTCCATAATACATTCTGCAGCCATTTAAAAAAACTACTGGTCATCATCGTTGTTGTTCTTCCACAGTTCTGTCAATCGTGCTCTGTATGATTCGAGAGAATTCTCGTAGACCACAAAGAGTATGTAGAATAGCACTGTTGCCGCTGTCGTCTGCACTTTCCTTCTTGTATAAGAAAACGATTTCTGCCGGCTTTAAATTGCTTAAAAACCTTGTTCACCACATTTCGACATGGTGAGAACGCTGGGACATGAAGTCCCTTAGTCAGCAATCGTACACGCTACTCGAGAAAATATTACTGGTCTTAAATCCTCCACTGCTTTTTTCTTCAGTGATGAATCCTTGAATGATTCAATTATTTATACAGCATAACAATACTCTGATGACTATCCGACCCCCCTATTTTCGATATTACAATAGTTCCATTCAGTTTCCCTCCCAACGATTTACGGCCTCTTCGTGGCTGAGAGGTGCTCCTAGGTGTCGGGCGGCGATGTATGGCAGGGGTATTCGTCCTCCCTGCAGTGTCTCCCAAAATGAGGAGTCCCGCGTTTCCATCAGAAAACCGAACTAAGAATAAACCAATAACAGGATCTATTACCGTCCTGGTATCAAGCTAGTCGCATGGCGGCAAATCTCTCTATGATCCTCCAAGGACGGCGACTGCCTCGTAGGGTGACGACCTGGGAGAAATTTTGGCCATGTTGACCTCAGGACTCTAGGGAACCACAATAGTTAAGCCAACAAAAGTCCAAAAAATGGAAGTTTTGCTAGGGCCTGCACAATCAGTGAGGACTAGTCATCCAAGTATCCAAGTAACTAAGTATTCAATTCCACCTTGCAGCATATCTTTGGAAGGTCTAAGTAGGTGGCACATTTGCGAAAGTTGAAGACAGTTTTATAATGGACATATTTTGAACTTTGAACTCTCCTTTACAAGTTCACAAACATAGAAATGTAAACAATCCGAATGCCACAAACACCGCACTCGGTATGTGGCACCACAACGCGACCAAAAGAGAACGATTACTAAAGAACCGATGGGCTTGCGAAAATAAGCTTCCTCAAAGCCAGAAAAAGTCAACTATACGGCAATCCACCCAACCAAACACTTCCATAACCAACTTGACCTTTCCCGGCTCTGAGAAAGGCGAAATCCGCCAAAAGGTTAACCTGTTGGTGAATAAAGAATGAAATAACAGGCATTAGTCCCAGTTCGCTGGAATACAGCAAGAAACAAAAAGATGTCTAATCCCTTTCAAAATGGAAAACGACATGCAGGTTACCAACCCAGTGATTAAATGGAAGAGCCCTGCCAGTGTCAACGAAACACTCAGATTAACGTATGAATTGGCAACGACGAGCCGTTCGCACTGTGAAAGCATTATTTCTAGCGTGCTGACTGGTTAGAACGAAGCTTCAAAACGTCACGTCGAACGGTTACGGTGCCCTCTCCTTCGGCGAGATGAACCAAGCTTCCCTGAAGAGAAATAATCATAAGTGAAACTCATTGAACGGTTGTAACTTTGTAGAACAATTGTTTTACGTAACTCACGACTATGTAATATCGATTCCGCAATCCGGAGAAAAGGATTGGAGGGAAAGAAACAGGCGGAAGACAACGAGCATCTGGAGCGACGCAGATGAGGGACGAACTCGGCGTCAGCTCGTCGACGAATGCCCGTCCGGTCGCCGGACGCTTCCAGAGGTTCGTGGGTAGCATGAGTTGACACGAAGTTGACAGGTTAGAGCACGAAATTCAAATACGTGGGCGGAGCCTGGCACAAGATCACCTCGCCCCTGTAAGGATGAATATCGATCGGCTCGACAGATCTGCCTTCGTTCCTGGGTAGGAAGCCGTAACATCGAGCAAAATGTGGTTGTGTGCTGGGAGGAATTCCTCACAACTTCATCACAGCAACCCACTTGCACATGAGAATGGGTCCGATTAGTCGATTTTCTTTATTACTATGTGTTCACTTCATGACTTTGACAGTCTTTGCTGTAAAGCGAACATTAAAAGGAAGCCAGGATTGGATCTCGAAAGAATTCGATTCTTTGTGTCAGATATGAAGTCACTAGATTGAAGATGTAGAAGACTTTAATGCTTATCGCATAATTGCTAGTTGTACAGGCTGTGCAGATGAAAGAAGCCTACTTCAATAGATGGTATCTCTAGCGACAAATTCCGGATGCATACGCTGACACACTTCGCTTTTCTGCCCGTTTTTCCAAGATTCAGAAAGATGTTGTAGACTAAGCATCGGGCTACTAAACGTCCGTTACAACTAGCTATTGGTTCAAATTCGGCTTGATAAAGTGTTAAGGAGCCATTGGAAAACAAATTGTTATCAGCGAGAAATCCCGTCCTTTATAAAAAGCATCGCCAAGTGAGGTTTGATCATTGGAGCGGTGCTACATTTAACTGTAATCGACTCGATGCGACCACGACCATCTGTGGACCATTATCTCCAGTCGATCCTGCTCTGAAGAAGAAGGAAACATCGGGACGTTTGCTGAATAAACCTTTCTAACAACCTCGTATTAGCATATCAGTAAAAGAGTACATACTGATTCATTACATCTAACACCATGAACACATAAAGGACACTTGTTGTAAACATCTTTCCAACAACCAGTGTGCACAAGAAAGAAGCACGAGGAAGAATCCTTGAGAATGGAGTGCAAAACAGACAGGCTAGGATGCGGTAGCAGCTGGAGATGAGTTTAGAGGAAAAACAAAGCTCCCAAGCGACGAGTCTAACGAAGACAAAAGCCGTTCAACCTTAACGAAGTAGGCGTGGCTGCAAAGCAGTACTTAAAAGGGGTTGGTTTAGAGAATTTAGTAGCACTGATTGAGCTACTACCTAATACTCTAAGTCATAAGGTGGTTCGTTACCGTCTTTATGATCGCCTATGTGCAAGGCGAAATTCCATGACTTGCAGTAAGTTGCGGACGATTATACCGGGGAAGTGAGTAGACCACTTTGGTTGGTAAGCGTAAAGTTAGACAAAATACTCCACTAGACGAGCATTTACAGGCTAATGTAAACACAGAGATTTTGATGCAGAAGTCACCATCGCTGTGCAAGAATTGAAAATTTCGACGCGCAAAATTGCTGTCTAGCCAGCGCCAAACTACCCAATGCTGCTATCCTCTATGACAAGTCTGGTATCAGCTTGGCGATCCAGAGTGGTGGAGGGCTTGGTGGGCCTGCCATGTAGGTGTAGATACCGTGTGCAGTGCGCCTCCGATCATTGCGCCACACTTGTCTAGATTCATAGATTCAAGATTCATTGAAAATAGCAATAAATCGCCAGTCAAACTACCAGCAATGAACTCGTCCAAAAAAGAGCTTCCTGTAAATTACGAAATGTAGAGGATAGCGTTCAATGGGAGATGACTGCTACCACCCGTACTAGATAACCGGCTGACTGATTACACGACGTATAGAAGAGCTGGGGCAAGCTTTACCCGAGTTGTCTTCGGAATTCCAGGGAATCACAGTGGCTAAGTCAGCAAATTTCGAAAAAATGGAAGTTATGCTGGAGCCCGCACAACCAGAGAGGACGGGCCGTACAAGTATCCAAGTATAGGAGAAGAGCACAAAAACAGACCATGGGAGCGAACGACCTGTATAGAAGTCATGCAGGGCACAAACACTAACCACGCCGTGAAAATAACTTAGATTTATTGGCTTATTACATGTATATACATAACGAGCCAGAACACACTGCAACACGATAGTTTAAAAACAAAAACAATTGGAAAATTGAACTAAGATACTGTCTCCCGTACGAATAAGGCACGATACAAAGGTGTTAAGTGTTGTCGACTAGAGGCGCGAGTTTCCATCTCATCAAACAATAAAATACTTAAAAGTACGTAAGAATTACAACTCTTTAATTAAGAGGAAAAAGCAGTCCTGTGATAATGACTTATCAGAATAAGATAGGGCTTGAAAACTGAGCATCTTATTGTACTGATTTTAGAGATCAGAGCTTCTACTACACAGCCTTGATCATGAAATTACAAAACCTATTCATTTTGATAAGGTAAACTATGCTGTACAAGCAACAAATGAGCAACTAGTTATTCCAATCATCTCGCCCCCAAAGTTGTGCGGACTGTTTCCGCCCACTCTTCTGCACACGCATTGCATTCGGATGCCGGAACACCTACCACAGCAGGCTCGACATGACGGCACCGTGCCCAAACTCGGATACGGGAGACACTGTTGTTACTAAAAGAGCGAAGAGCTGCAGCAGGAATCTGTAATTGACCCCTGCATACAAAAATTATAGCATAGCATTACACTGTTCGTAGGTAGCTTGTAAAACGAAATCCTATTTATCCATTTTTCTTCATGAAAAACTGGTAAGATTACTGTAAATAGCAATTTCTAGACTAACATCTTACCTCCACACTAGTAACGCATTTCGTTGGAGGTATCCAGCCTTCCAAAATGTTAAGCTTCTCTTCTGCCGAAAGTGTATCTTGAACACCAGGTTCATCCCACACCTGCAGTTATATAAATCAGTTATTTAATACACATTGCCTATAAAGCAGCGTTTGACGAGGCAAAAACGTACATTAGAAAACTCAGTTCACCAAATAAACATTGAAAAGTTGTGTGTTCAATTTTTGGAAGTAATGGAAACCAACTAAAAGATTTTGTGATCCTCTTGTTCTCCTGAAGGGGTCTGGCGGCAGAGTTCACATTACAAATATTTGCAGAAAGTCTTTAAAGACAACTCACAGGTCAACTATGGTTTACAATAACGAGAAGAACGATAGAACAAAATTGACTTATCATAGGCCACAAGCGACGAAGCTGGGAGTTACGTTTCTGTGTGTTTGTAATTGGCAAACACTTGAAGGCAGCGGACAAAATAGACCGAGACTGACAGTCTTCATGGTTTGCAACTACTTCCCAGGCCAGTCCAGCAATTGACCGCAGCGCTGGATTGATCTGAAATTACTGCTATAAAATTTGTATTCATACACTATGAGAACGATGAAAAAAGGTCGATAAGAACAAGAACAAGAATTTTTGTTTTCGTAAGTTCCTAGTTGCAACTTGACTTCTATCGCTTCCATCGTCACAGTAATTGTGGCCATCGGTCCTCAACCGGGACATCCAAAACGAAACACATTTCGTAAAACAGATCTACTTCGGCCAATTTGTGAGTATTTTCGACTAGGTGGAACTCTTGAATTACACGAACAAATGTCGACAATCTTGCTTTAAAATTCTAAATAAAAGTTTACGACGGTTCTAAAATACTATGGACCGTACTCTTAAGACTCGTCATCTCTTCATCTCATCATTTCACTGATGTAAGTAGTTGGTAAATGAAAGGAACATTTGTACCTCCGCTTCAATTCCTGCGGATCGAGCTCTTCCAATCTGCTCAATCGCAGGAAGAACGTTTCCCGCCATGAGATGAACAAGGGCGATAGGGATTGAAGAATTAATATTTGAGTAGCCGGATGATGTAGTAGTGTTGTCCATATGATGAGAAAGAAAGTGTCGTGATATAGCCTAAGAAAAAATGCGACAAATAATGAAATAAATTAGACAGGTGCCAAAACGAATTCTGCAGCATTGTAAAGAGAAAGTGCATAAATAAAAGAATAAAGGAAGAATCTCTCAGCGCTGATCAATCCTTGCGGAATGGGTATGATCCATTGGGGATGCGCAATGCAATCCACTTCATTAATCATCGTTCGGAGGTGATTGAATGCATATCTGGCCTCTACAATGACTCGCGGTGACCAACTGATGAATCGAGCCAGCACGCTATCCTCCCAGATAGGTCTGGTACCAATATGCCAAAACCGGAGGGATGGCGGGATTGGCGAACCATCGGCGCGGGGATCGACCACTGCGCCACGCGCACCCAAAGAAGTGCATGAATGCACAAATGTTTTTAGTACGTGCTCCAAAAAACTACTCATATGATAAAACGCACTACTTCGAACCAAAAATTCAATTATTTTTAGCATGCAAGTGCGAATATTCCGTGGTAGAAGAGAAATTTCTCGAGTTTTATGAATGAAATAAACACCTGTATTGTGGGGAAGTCACTTCCTCTTAACAGCACCATGAGTTTTTTCTGATCAAAAGTTGATGAGATACTATCTAAAAAGTGAAATATGCGAAAATGTTGGCCACCAAATTTCATTTTCAGGAAGAACATAGTAGTCGAAAAAAATTGTGAACAACCTTCGTTATGGGGTCTGATATTAACCTCGGGAATTAACGTGGGTTTGACAACATAACAGAAGTCATCCGATAATGAAACACATCGTTTAGGAGAACCATCCTAAACAACAGCATTAATAATAGTCGCTGTTTTTCTCTAACAAGAGAGTTAAAAAGCATGACCAAATAAGAACAAGAAAATAATATCGACGAAAACAAGGTATACGTTTTTGACATCAGGTAACCGAATAACAACACAATCTGCACTTACCTTAGGTGGTTGATAGAAGTACTTTCGTGCGAGAGATGGAGTTTTATCAGATGGTACACCACACTGTGCAAAATCGTTCTTACCCCAACCAAACGTCCGTCCATCCTTAGCAACCGCAATGGTATGACTGCCTCCTTAATAAGACAAAGTACTACCATTGTAGATATAAAACTACCTCAGTGATTCTGAAAAATCATAGATGCTAACTTTAAGTCAAGTATTAATGCCATTACCTAGTTCAAA